TTATACAAAGAAATATTTACAATTGATTCATACAGCATAAATACATATTAATAATTCAAACTACTGATACTATTATTGTATTTTATGGACTATAAGATGCACCTTAATTTTTAAGCAATTTTTTAAAAAAATAACATTTTTACCATTTTTACTGCCTAAATTCAATCCTTCTATACGGAATGAAGCAAACACTGATCCACCAATCAACGCTTAATAGCACTATCGAATGTCCGTTACTATGTAAAAATAATTTAAAATTTTAAATAATATTTTATCAGTTTAATACAAAAGATTTAGAGGAAAGGGTTGTAAATTTTAAATCAGCCATATAGTCAATTTAGAAGTCTAAATTTAAGTTTTGAGTAGACAGATAATCATTTCTCATTTCACTGCAGATCAAGATTACTCTCTAACAACCAAAGATACCCAAAATCTTACAGAAAAACTGAACTCAATTCATTCTAAACTATGAAGTTTTCAAGAACATTTTAAAGCAAATACATTTATAGAACTTTACAATAATCTAAAAGAATTATTCCATGAATATTATATAAATTAAAAAATGTAAATAAAATATTTTATTAAGCAATTAACTCAATTTGTTTCATTGTTTTCATTAACAAAATTAACTTAATGTACATTACTGTATAGTACTGCTTCAACTATTTGAAAAGAAAATGGTCATATAAAAATATAATCTACTAAAGACATTTAATTTAAAGTACTGTACACCCAATTCTGTTTTTGCATGGTAGGTATATTAAAAAAAAAATAAATAAAAAAGACAAGCTACTATCCTTTTGGAAATGGAAGATTGCTTCCATACTTTAAAAATCAGTAAAAATCTTTTATAAACCAACTAACAGGACATGTCTAAACAAAGTATTTCAATTTTAGCTAATAAATCAGAGATCAGTAATTGTAACTTATTTGTTAGTAAAATTTAATAAATTTATATTATTTGCACAAATTTTATTTATTTATTTTTTTTATTAAACTCTTCCAATTAAACAGCAAAACACTGAACAAAATACAAAATCTATTCCATACTAAAAAAAAAATTAGAAGAAATGCAATCATACAAACAAATTGTCAAACTTCAAATTAAATGTGTTTCTGACTGCTTCATTCAATTGCAGAATAAAATGGGAATGAAAGACTGATATTTGAAATGTGCATAATGACAAAGTCATAAAAAATAGTCAAATCTTAAAATTTACTTGATGTAGCCTTAAATGAAAATTCTAAATTTTTTTTTTAAAAAAGGAATAATTTTCTATAAAAGGATGTATCAATATTTTTTTCTTAAAANATTTTAACTTTATTATAATTATATGTATACTTTCCGCAGTCTAGCGCCACGCTACGGAGAGTTTAGGCGAGCTATCGTCTGTACAGTATGTAAATTCGGTACCGTAAGTCTAATACAGTACTGTAATTTTATACATTTCTTGTGAAAGAAACATTTCTTATTCAACGGCGATTAAAATTATTTATATTAATGATGTCTCCTTTGATAATGATTATTTATATTAATGATGTTATTTTTCTGCGAAAACTTCTTTCGCAGAAAAATAACATCTGAAATCGCGGCCGCGGTTTGCTTCGCTGTTCCGCGACGAAAACAAGCTTGAGCAACGGCGATGTCGAATGGTGCACACTCGGTAAGTAATCCTACAAGTTTTTGTTTATAGCGTAATTTATACGGATTATTTCCAAAAAAATATACGTATTTTGGAAATGTTAAGTCGAATTAGTCTAGAATCGATTAATTTTATGGAAGAAAACCTTTCAAACAGCCGTAGTCCGTAAACTTCACACGTGCCAAATACGTGAGCCAATCACAGCTCAAGGATTCCTACAACGCAAAATTCGTATAACGAGGAACGTATCTTCGCGTTATAGGGGGGTCTACTGTAACATATTATATAATATATATCAAAGTACAGTAATACAATAATCTCATGTGGCATATCCAAAAATAATTAATAACAGTGCGATGTCGATATTAATTGCAAAAATAATACATAAAAGTAATAATAATAATAATTAACAACACATACCAACATTAATATTAAGTTACAAAAGATATATATTGTATCAGATACAATGTAATATGCGCAATGTCATTTTACAGCCAAGAACTGAACGATGCTCATGCCAGTTTTAAACCAGTTAGGGACTTGTGTTGGATCAAACGTAATATTTGCCAGCGATACCGTATTTACTTGCATATAGGATGAGGTTTTTATTCATTTTTCACTGCTCCAAAAACCTAAGTCGTCCTATACGTGCGAGCGAAGGATTCTTTGCGTTTTTGCAAATAATTTTTCTGAACCGTGTATTCGCATTTTTTACCGGATGCTTACCGCATTCTCACCCTCTTGTGTTTTATAAAAACATAAGTATTTTATCTGGGTCGTTTGATTCGTTCTTGTGTATTGTCAGGAGTAAAGATGAATAGCAATAGGAAAAGCAAAGCTTTTGAATTGAATTCCAAATCACACGCGAGCGAGCCCATGTTTCAATCCATTCCCACGTGAAAACAGATGATTTTTCGGAAATCAAAAATCAGAGAAACTCATAAGTGTAATCGATGGAGTGGATCCGACCGTTAAGAATTGGCAAAAAAGCGTTCTCGATTGTCCAGCTTTACGTGAACAAATTATGTTGTTGATTTTACAAGATTTTTCCTTAAAGTTTGAAATGCCAGTAATTTTTACCGGACAATGTGTTCATTTACGTTCATTTGATATTTTATTTGTGATTAAATGAAATTAAACTAATTACATTAATAAATCTAATTTTCTTTATTTTGATCTTTAAAGTCTCACTTCGTCCTATACGCGAGTAAATACGGTACTTGCAAGTTAGAATTTTAAAAATACATTTTCTGTCACTTTTAGCTTAGGGATACGTTTGCATAGGTTGTGAAGTTAGTCTTTGACCGTTAAAATAGTCGCAAATATTTTTATAAATTTATTTTCTTTTGTCATAATTTCATAATTTCTACGAAAACCAGACAAATCAATAATTAATCCGGACCGTAAATTTAAAAATCAGCTTGTCCGGGTGTAAACCGGCCTGGTGACAACACTAAGACAATGATTTAGGGAAATTATTTTCCTTAAAATTATAGAAGCAACTGTTGTCTAGAATAATCTAGTGATAATTTTCTTCTATTAATTTGAATGATAATTATGGCATAATTTATTATTAGTGATAAAAATGCATATTGCTAATATTGTATTACAATTGATCAACATTTTTTTTTCTTTTTTGAATATTGTATTTTTCTCAATAAAGGTTAAAATTTGCGTAAATGGTGAATTTTAAGAATCTAGGGACCAGATTCGCAAAGTATAATTATAAAACCTGTTCTTGCTTAACGTTTATGAGCTTAACAGTGCATTCAGGTGTCAATAGATGAGAGTAATAAAATTAAATGTGAAAATGTAAACTGTTTTTTTATATTTGATTTTAATTATAGTAGATTGACTACTTAAAGATTATTAGCATTGTATCTTATGATCGTTTAAGTAGGAATCACTTATCAACTTGGATATTTACCATTTAATATGTAACTAGAAATGATTTTGTACAGTTAGATATATTCAATTTTAGACATTGAAAAGATGTGGATATATTCCATTTGTTTTATAGGAGAGCTGAGTATACAGGTTACTCAAAGCAATCGCTGTATGAAATTTAACAGTGAATTTAGTGAGATTGTGATGCCTGTAAAGAATATAAACATAACCTAGGAAAAGTTTTTTTAAAAGGTTGATGCTGGGAGTTGCTCCATGAGTTTCCTGATGTGGACTAGAGCATTATCTTATGGCTTACAAACGTACGTAACAAATCTTTCCACTGCCTAAAATTTAATGCTATAAACTGTATTTCTCTGTCTCATCTTACAAGCTTATTGTAATCCTCTAAATAAAAATGCATTCTGACAAAATTGATTTGTAAAACAAAACTTTAGTTAAGACACAAATAATTATATGATACAATACTTTTTGTAACTAACATTTTGAAACTTAAGATGAAAGTATTAAGTCAGAAGACAGATCATCATATACATAGTACGTATTTAATTAATATTTAAAATTATTTGTAAAACAGAATGCCTTCTGTAATTTAATACCTTAAATATACTTTTTATTGTAATTCCTTACTTTGAGATGTTCTGTAAGTGCTGTTTGTAATTCTTACAACTTGAGGGATAGTATGTATGGTTGACTAAGGTGGGAAATGCATCCCAAATCCATTCTGTACAGTAAGATACAATAAAATGTCACAAAGTGCCTATATGTCTGGTATCTTATACAAGACCAAGTATATTTAAAATTTTTCAACATGTAAATTGTATTTCTAAAAATTTTTTATTTCATTCATTCAATATTCAGTTCAAGTGCTTGATAACCAATTAATATACTAATATAGGCTACATCAACATTATTATAATCTAATGTATCAATAAATATTTACTTCCTTTGAATTAATTATTAATAATTCAAAAGAAATAAGCTACAAAAAATTATTCTTTTATATTTATAACTGTTTGTATTATATACAGTCATAATTTTATTCATAATAAATCAATGTGTAAGTTATAATTCCAGAATTCACTTAGCTGGTTTATATAAATCAGAGGTCCACAACTTCAGTGCTGCCTCAGGTCACATTAGGTTAAATAATTTTAAACAGGATGCAATTTAATTTCTAAAAATATTCAAGAGTTCATTAAGAAAGTTTATTACTATTTAATTTGCATACAAATTGTGTGTCTAGACCAAAACATATTATATGGATTTAAATTAAAATAATGTTAAAACATTAAGACAAGCCTATTAACAAAAATATTTTCATCAAAATTAGTCAATAGGTCATATTGAAACATTTAGTGGGTCATATGTAGGGAATTCGATCCCGGTCCTTATTTCTAATCCTGGGATTTCGGGATTATNTTTTTATACATATTAAAAATTGTTTTATTTATGTAAAATATTGATGATAAAAATACTATTACAATTCACAAAAAGATAATTAACATTCCTGAAATGTAGGAATGAAGAATTCTAATTCTTGATATATACATACAATAAAAACCAAAAGTAGTTCTTAAGGGGTGTAAATGGGTCAGCTAAAATTTAAAAAATTTTGTTCAGTTATTTTTTAAACCAGATATAAACAAATTTTTTATTTCAAACATTTTTGTACATAAGTATAAATACTTGAAATTATACATTTTCGTATAAAAATTAAAATACTTAGCGAATGTAAAGAGACATGTCGGCAGGACCCAAGTAACCTGTTGCTATCAATATCACATCCACCAGCGTCCAGACACCCAAGCCCCCAAAACTGAATAATTTTCCTATTCCTTCTTGCCACATGCCGAGATAAAATCGGTCCACTCCAAAACCACCAAGAACAATACTGAAATATACATTATATTTGAAAGAAAGTTTGAAGGGAAAAAATTAATTTAAAATATTAAATAAAAGATTACACTAAAGCAGTGTTTTTCAACCACCGGTCCATGACTGATGCCAGTCCACAGAAAAATATTTGACTGTACTGACACTGGTACAGTTGATTACATGAGTGACATTTAAATAATAATCTGCAGTTATTAAACGTATTTCGTTATGAACAGTAACTTCAGATAGGGGCTGTCCATAAATGACGTCAACACCAGAAGGGAGGGAAGGAAGTTACAAGTTGGACAAAGTCAGACGAGGAGGGGGTCGAGTGTCGATGGACATCCATTTATTTCATATAAATTTTACACAGTTTGTGCATTTTATTATATTTATTTTAAAATTTTACATACGTTTTGTTTCTACTTATGTTATCTATCATTCGTAAACTGAAAAAGGTTTTAAGGGGGTCAAGCTTTGTTGGACATCTGAAGGGAGGAGGGGTTATGGAAATTTGAACATGCTGGAACTAGAGGAATAGGGAAAGTAAAAATTTCAAGAAAAATGCCAATGTAACTTATGAACAGCCCCATAAATATACATAAGTCTAATAAATAAGCACAATTTATAGTTGCATATAATTACTGGTTCAAGTAAACTTATCTATAATTTTACCAGTCTGTGATGAGAAACAGGTTGAAAACAATGGTCTGAAGTATTGAATAACAATGATAAATCAATACAATTAAACAATTTCCTATTTACTGTTTTTTATTTTTCTTGGATAATTATTGGTGAGGAATAATGTTAATTTCTTTTATTAAATGTTCAAAATGTTTCTTAATAAAAACAGTTTATAAAATAAAAATTCTATTAGCAAATAATAGAATTTTTATTTTTATCATTATTATTACAGTAGAGCCTCAAAAACTCGGCACTCGATAACCCGGCACTCCGGATAACTCGGCCACACCCTGGCAGGGCAAAAAAATCCTTAGTTAATTAATTTTCATTATAGACAGCTTTATGCCTCGAAGTATTTTTCTAAGGCCTGTCTTATCAGGTAAATTACTGTACACAGTGTATTCATTAATTTTCATTTTCATGTAGTAAAGGCTCTGTGCCTTTATGAAGGCACAGAGCCTTTTCACAAAGGCACAGAACTTTTCCTTTGTTTATGGGTATTTGGGCAGTTTATTCTCTGTTGTATTCTCAAGCAAACAATACATACAAGTACAGTACAATATTTTCTGAGGAAACACGCATACTTATCCTTTTTTTAACCCCATTCCCAATAACCCGGCATTTTCACAAACTCGGCCACCCTTCGGTCCACATTAGGCCGAGTTTTCAAGGCTCTACTGTATTATCATTAGATGATAAAAAAATCTATTTAGCAAAACACAAAAAAGAAAAATTCTTACTATTCTAAATACAAAGCTAAAAAACATTCACTTGATACTGATATACAGTATATAAAAACTGATATCACTGATGGACTTTTCCAGTAGTCTTTATTTCTTTTCATCCCTAATAATTGCTACTACTTCCTTTAAAACTTCAGATATACATTAAATTACTAATAAAAATGATTACTTATTATAAAATGGGGTAATTTAACTATTTTAAAAAATATTACCTCTCCCACCTCTTCAACATAGAGACATTTCAGTCCAATTTTGATGATGAAAATTATGATTGATAAACACAAAAGTACATTTATCGCAATAAATTTCATCAAAAAAAAAAAAAAACTAGTTTTTATATATCTACCCCTGATCTAGAATTGGGGGATTAGGGAAATATCAATTTAAAACCCTTATTAATATATACATATTGAAGGACAGAATTCAACTGGTTTATTCTATTAAAACTTATAAAAAGCATCAAAAAACATTAATATTGGAAGTAGAGGTGATTTTAAAAATTATTTTTGAAACAAATATATTTAGTTTTTGATAAACTAAAACTTTGTATGAATAAAAAAATTTCATATCTTTGTATTGTAGTTTTTTGAGACAATGAGGGGATGGAGGCCATATCTCCCAAACCAATGGTTTGATTTTACTGAAAATTTCTAGATACATTTTCTCCTAACATACAAACTGCCCTGCAAAATTTCAAAATTTTCAAAAAAAGGCACATGAGTTAATAAGCTTTAAATTGGTGCAAAAAACATGCCTTCCACATACACTAACAGCCATACACAAAAAACCTCCAACTTTTTTTGGATTTCTCAACATTTCAAAGTCCCAAGTCCAAAAACACAAAAATCTGGGGGATCATTTTTGACTGATCGTAATCTTTTCTCTGTTATATAACAACCAGAAAAGTAATATTAGTATTAGATTAATCATTATATATAAACCAGCAATTATTTATTGTTACATTGTCACAATACTGGGGTACAATTTTTAATCATATTCTTAATTTAATTTAAAATATATGTTCTCCATCTCAAATTATTAGTGTGTATTAGTTATCTTGTCCTTATACATCATACTTTTCCTGATAACTACAGAGTCATGCCAATCATCTATGTAACTCCATTCGGGAAAATTTTTAAACTGAACTGTTTGTTTGTTAAGTTATGGCAACACAACACTTGGGCAATCTGCCTAGGGGAAAGGCCTCCGGGGAGGTCTTTTTAAAGAAAACTGGCCCCAATTAGGCATTACAGATGTGGAGAAAACCAAGAAAACTTCATGTGACCAGCCTGTCCGAGCAAGGCACGAACCCACAACAGAACTCCCAGTGCTCAGGGTACGAAGACCACTTGGCCACTGGTGGGCCTTTTTGAATTGAATTCATGTGTCTTCAGATCTATACCAGAAGTTTGTATATAGTTAATCGATGCATCCTGCCTCTAAACTTTCCATATCTAATCTTCACTTTTATCTACCTAACACCATTCTTGAGATTAAAGGACAGAATACAGACAACATTGGAAATTTATAGGTCTACAATTTTACAAATTGCAAGTAAATTATATAATAATAGATTAATCATAATGTTTGTTTAGTTTCTGTTCATAATATTCTGTTAGAATAAAAGCATGTCACATAATACAGAAGTAAAATAATAAGACAAAATATGGCATACTTTTTATTCTAACAGACTGGTTCATAATAGATTTTGTTTAACAGATTAATTAAAACATGAATTTTCAGTGACATATTACCATTAAAATAATGCAGTTAAAACATTTTTTGAAAACCTGTTCTTTATTTGAATTAGTAGTTGTGATACAATGATGAGACAAAATGTCTCAAAAATGTTTAATCTTTATTAAAACATTCAGAGTCTCCTTAACTTTTAGCATTTTTTAATATTTATGTTACTGTGTCAGATAGACCTGAACAAGTGTATATTACTTGAAAACTATAAATATATAATCATATTCTATATAGATATTTTTTAAATTCAGTTTTTGATATTCTATACCAGTCATGAAGTACAAAATGTATAATAAAAATAAAATTTATTTACTATTTTAATGCATTAAAATTATATATTAAAATAAACTTTAAAATATTTAAATTTAATTTAAAATTACAAATTAATTCAAACCTTAAAAGAAGAGCAGTTCTCCAACTATATCCTTTTGTCCAATTGCATATAAGATTTTTTGGAAATGTTCTGTTTCCTGAAAGATTATTTATTTACTATGTAAAAATAATTTAAAATTTTAAATAATATTTTATCAGTTTAATACAAAAGATTTAGAGGAAAGGGTTGTAAATTTTAAATCAGCCATATAGTCAATTTAGAAGTCTAAATTTAAGTTTTGAGTAGACAGATAATCATTTCTCATTTCACTGCAGATCAAGATTACTCTCTAACAACCAAAGATACCCAAAATCTTACAGAAAAACTGAACTCAATTCATTCTAAACTATGAAGTTTTCAAGAACATTTTAAAGCAAATACATTTATAGAACTTTACAATAATCTAAAAGAATTATTCCATGAATATTATATAAATTAAAAAATGTAAATAAAATATTTTATTAAGCAATTAACTCAATTTGTTTCATTGTTTTCATTAACAAAATTAACTTAATGTACATTACTGTATAGTACTGCTTCAACTATTTGAAAAGAAAATGGTCATATAAAAATATAATCTACTAAAGACATTTAATTTAAAGTACTGTACACCCAATTCTGTTTTTGCATGGTAGGTATATTAAAAAATAAATAAATAAAAAAGACAAGCTACTATCCTTTTGGAAATGGAAGATTGCTTCCATACTTTAAAAATCAGTAAAAATCTTTTATAAACCAACTAACAGGACATGTCTAAACAAAGTATTTCAATTTTAGCTAATAAATCAGAGATCAGTAATTGTAACTTATTTGTTAGTAAAATTTAATAAATTTATATTATTTGCACAAATTTTATTTATTTATTTTTTTTATTAAACTCTTCCAATTAAACAGCAAAACACTGAACAAAATACAAAATCTATTCCATACTAAAAAAAAAATTAGAAGAAATGCAATCATACAAACAAATTGTCAAACTTCAAATTAAATGTGTTTCTGACTGCTTCATTCAATTGCAGAATAAAATGGGAATGAAAGACTGATATTTGAAATGTGCATAATGACAAAGTCATAAAAAATAGTCAAATCTTAAAATTTACTTGATGTAGCCTTAAATGAAAATTCTAAATTTTTTTTTTAAAAAAGGAATAATTTTCTATAAAAGGATGTATCAATATTTTTTTCTTAAAATGTCAGTTTTAAGAAAACAGACATTTAAAAATGTCAGTTTAAGAAAAAAATATTTCAATAAATTAAAATTTATTTCAATAAAATAAATAAATTAACATATTTCAAATAAATTTGCATTTTTTTTTTTAAATGCAAATTCATTGAAATACATTAGAGCCATAGAATTATTCAAATATGTTAGAGCAAAACAAATCACATGAAAAGAGAATTGAAATATTTCAGGGTATTAAGTCAAAATTATTTTTTAAAATATATATAAGAAATAGAATTGTGTATTCCAAAATGTTCTTTTCTTAATTATAAAATTTTTTTTTCTCTATATTGAAAATATAATCATTTTGGCATTCCAGAACTAAAATATTAATTTATAAAAATATATAAATTATCATCTAAATTATACGGTCATTACAATTAGAATTAGGGGTGGTGGCTTGAAAACATTTGGAAATCAGTGGATTAGCAGATCCTATCATCTAATAATAGCATTTAAAATTGATTTATTATCAATTTTTTCAAGCCACTGCCTCCTTGGTTTCATAAAGATATACTCAACACCCCTAACCCATTTTCCTTTGCGTAAGAAAGGCTTGGAAATATTGTTAGAAAAACTTTTCTATGAACCTCAAACTTTGTGTCCTTACCATGCATTGTTCTCAACATCTGGAAACCATTAAAATGTTTCTTCTTATCCCATTTTAACAGAGGAAAAAGAAAGATTGTCAATGACCCCAACCTTTACCTAACACTTGCTTCTTTTTAATCATCACCCTCAGAGGCATGGTAGTGCCCACTTTGGGAACCACTGTTCTAATCTATTGAATATAAAATTGATCCTGATGATTTTTCAATCACAGATTATTTAAGAGTATCTCAATCTCCATTTTTTTTTTTTATAATAGTGATGACTGACATTAATATAGGACAATATACGCTGACAACAACATTTACAATCCAATAAGGGACATATTTCAAAATCAGTGAAAATGGGGTCTAAAACTAAATAAACTTTGGTTATTTTTTTAGAATTTTATTTATTTATTGACCTATAAATTGATGATGATATAATGGCATAAATTCAGTTCATATATTCTTGCATCAAAATGAAGATTTTATGATAAAAATTTGGCAGATAACTAAAATATTACTTACCTAAACAAATAATATTACTATGTACCATACAAGTAGTAATATATTTTTGTCGTGGAGCAGTAATCACTTGGCAGCTTGAATTTTTTTGACATGTATGTTCAGTATTTTCTGTTTGATAACAATAACGACATTTCATAGTTCGCATAAAGGTCAAAGGACCCTGAAAATTTAAGAATTTAAAACATTACAAACAAAAAGTTAGTTTAAAGTGAATCAAAAATTAATAATAATCAAGAATAAATACTTATACAAAGAAATATTTACAATTGATTCATACAGCATAAATACATATTAATAATTCAAACTACTGATACTATTATTGTATTTTATGGACTATAAGATGCACCTTAATTTTTAAGCAATTTTTTAAAAAAATAACATTTTTACCATTTTTACTGCCTAAATTCAATCCTTCTATACGGAATGAAGCAAACACTGATCCACCAATCAACGCTTAATAGCACTATCGAATGTCCGCTGATCGTACAATGGTCGCACAATGATCGCTGGCCAATCCGCGATTGTGGATTCAAACCACCAGTCTTCTCGTGATCCAAGTTTCTATGGCAACAAACGTTGCTCGTTTGAAAAGAGAAAAAGCACGGGAATTGTACGTCCAGACGATTCTATCCTGACACCCTGCAACTCATGTTCGTCGCATCGGTGCACTGCTGCTGCCAGTTGAATTCAACATTGCCAGATAGAGATAGGTTTCCCGCAGCATCAAATATATGGCCATTTTTAAGACGCGGGAATTTTAAATCAAACACTGGACATTCTTATATTAATTTCGAGTATAAGACGCACCTGAATTTTGGAAAAAATTTTTCAAAGAAAAAAGTGCGTCTTATAGTCCGTAAAATATGGTAATATATAAAGATCAATGAGTCCAATTTATTTTATAATTAAGTCCAGATAGATTCAATATTCAAAACAGAAACAAAAACTAAATTATAACAGTCAATTTATTTTTCTTATTAGTGAATATAAATTTATTTTTTCTTTTGAATTTTCTAGTCCAACATTAGCTGCATTCTAAAACAGTTTCCAAACAGAATAAATTAATATTTAAAATTATTTGTAAAACAGAATGCCTTCTGTAATTTAATACCTTAAATATACTTTTTATTGTAATTCCTTACTTTGAGATGTTCTGTAAGTGCTGTTTGTAATTCTTACAACTTGAGGGATAGTATGTATGGTTGACTAAGGTGGGAAATGCATCCCAAATCCATTCTGTACAGTAAGATACAATAAAATGTCACAAAGTGCCTATATGTCTGGTATCTTATACAAGACCAAGTATATTTAAAATTTTTCAACATGTAAATTGTATTTCTAAAAATTTTTTATTTCATTCATTCAATATTCAGTTCAAGTGCTTGATAACCAATTAATATACTAATATAGGCTACATCAACATTATTATAATCTAATGTATCAATAAATATTTACTTCCTTTGAATTAATTATTAATAATTCAAAAGAAATAAGCTACAAAAAATTATTCTTTTATATTTATAACTGTTTGTATTATATACAGTCATAATTTTATTCATAATAAATCAATGTGTAAGTTATAATTCCAGAATTCACTTAGCTGGTTTATATAAATCAGAGGTCCACAACTTCAGTGCTGCCTCAGGTCACATTAGGTTAAATAATTTTAAACAGGATGCAATTTAATTTCTAAAAATATTCAAGAGTTCATTAAGAAAGTTTATTACTATTTAATTTGCATACAAATTGTGTGTCTAGACCAAAACATATTATATGGATTTAAATTAAAATAATGTTAAAACATTAAGACAAGCCTATTAACAAAAATATTTTCATCAAAATTAGTCAATAGGTCATATTGAAACATTCAGTGGGTCATATGTAGGGAATTCGATCCCGGTCCTTATTTCTAATCCCAGGATTTCGGGATTATACTTATTCAATCCCGGGATCATTTCAGTATTGAGGGTTAATAAAAAATAAGAAAATCTTACAGAAATCAAAAATCAAAATTTAGACAAAAATCAACGTATTTTACGGTATACACCTAGTTAATTTAATCACTCTAACTAATCAGACTTAGAGTCAGACTAACCAGACTTAAAATCACTGTTTCATGTTAAATTTATTCTTTTTTAAGCATCACTGAGATCTCTTTAAACTCACATAAATTGAAAAAACCTTTATGTAACAAACTATGCAAATAAACGTTGAAAATTAACAAAAATCTCTCTTAACATCGACTAAATAGACTACTTTCATATAACAACCTAGTAAGTAGGTAGTAAAGTAAGTTTCTTAGCAAAAAGTATTTAAAAATAATATTAATCAGTCACATTTTTCTTAAATATAAAGAAAACTAATCTAATAGGAACATTCTAATTTGAATTGCGAAAATATGATCTGAGAAATAACAACGCATCCAGTGTCTCATCACCAAGTCTGCTTCTCAATTTGTTGCACATATATGCAGCTGCTGAGAAAACGCGTTTAGGTTTGATGGAAGTTGGAGGAATCGTTAGTAAATACTTATAAGCTTCGAGGACACGGGGAGGATGGAAGAAAACAGTCCGGTCGACACGGATCGGGATTGTAGGAGTAAAGGCTACAATCCCGATTGTTTCGATCATTGTAAGCATGTCTTTCTAAAAATAAACGCGTTAATTTTGTAAATTCGGTCTCTGTGTGAGTCTCTCAGCGTCCAGCAAACCACTACCCCGAAACGTAAAAAGACTTTCTCGCATCATCCTGACAGATCGCGGACAAGGCGAGGGTCGTAACCTTTTCACCTAAGGTCGATCCCCCTAAGCGAGAGGCGTCGGGTCTATATTAACTACACTGGCAAAACAAGATGGCTGACACATTGACAGGTAAAACGCACTGAGTAGTGCTCTCGACTGTACCAGAAAATCGATTGGCGCCCGCGAAAATTCAAAAATACAAAAATGAAGTATATTACCAAGTAACCCAGTGAGAACTGCTTGCCTATCATTTTAGTTGAAAATACAAGAAGTTTTATTCCAAGCAAGCATCGCAAGCCCGCTAGGTTAATTTCTGCTGCTTGCTTGGAATAAAATTTCTTGTATTTTATATTAAAATGATAGGCAAGCAATTCTGTTAAAAGCACTGGCACTGAACGTTTCGCTTCATGCAGTCTATTTTGCAACTTTTTTAAAAATGATGTCAATCCCGAAAATCTCGGGATTAGGAAAACTTAATCCCGAAAATTTTGGGACTGAAAAGTTGTCGGGATCCCAATTTTCGAGATCCCGGGATCAAATCCTCTAGTCATATGTTATGTGCACCTGTAGATAGTTCTGCAGTGGCAGTTTTTATGAAGAACAAAGAGGCAAGAACCTTAACTATAGAATTCCCAGAAGATATTGTCTAATAAAGACAGTTAGTCAAAATTATAGGAATTCACCAATTTCATCATAACAAATTATTAAATAAAAAAAAAATTTATTTATTGTAATCATGAAAATTGTTTTAAGGCATTTAATGTTATCAACATTAGCAGATCTCAAAACATAAGTTAAAACTCTGAAACTAGTCACAAGTTAAAATAGTTATAAAATTTTGCTCATTGTAATTAGACCTTTGATTATAGTTTGATCATCATTATCTTCAAGTAAATAGGATTTTTAAGCTATCTTTTATCACTATTAACCTCAACATGTGGCTGAAAGCATATAATCATTATCAGCTACCATCAGCCTCAACTAGTGCTTTAAATATTAAATATCAGTCATTTTAATCATTTGCTTGCAGTATAGCAGTTTAACTTGTAAGAAATCTTTACTTCAATTATATGTTAGCTGTTTTAAAAACAGCATTGCAAAAAAGCAGATAAACAACACTGCATGATTTATTATTAATTAATTAATAATTATATAAATATTTTAAACTATAATAACTATTTTGGAATTGGCAAGACCTTAAACAATTACAGTAAATGGATTATACTATAATATGATTTTTTTCTCAATTTTACCTATAACCCAACAGATCATATCTGATAATTTATGAATAAGATTTTATAAAATTATGTCAATTTAGTTGATGGTGAAATTTTCCTAAGATCCTAACAACTTACAGGATCTTTATATTAGTAAAATAATATATGTTTATGGGAGATCAACAAGACCTTCTCTATAGATTATATCATAGTAAATCAGAAATTGAGGTTAGCTGTAAAGCAAATTTACTATATTACTTTGTCTTTAGGTATTTAATTTAAAAAGTCAAAATCTTAATATTAAAATGTCATACAATAGTTTTTCCAAGTATTTGTGAGCACCTGTTATATTTGTATACAGATAGCCTGATAAGGAAGTTATTAATAAGCATCTGAAAAAAAAATTAGAATATAAAAACGAAGTTCCTAAAAGTTTTCTACTCTTGTATACAGGTTAACAATACTCATTAATAAGTACTGGTAAAACATACAATAAACTCCCAACAACCTTTAAATAACCAGTAAAATAGTTAATCCAGATCTCCACCATTTTTTATATGTGTGTGTAAAAAAATGATATATTCTTTTGTTTGTATATACAATATTTAGTGCGCACGCACAGTATGAATCGCTATACGTGACTGTTCATATGTTCTAAAAAAAAAGTTTAAAAATCTTCAAACACAACTGCTATTCGAATCTCAGAACTTTTAACCTGAAGAAGACTGGAAATAACAGTCGAAAACATTTGTAATAGTATTTTAAAATATTTTACTAGTTATTTAAAGGTTGTTGGGAGTTTATTGTTTTCTACTCTGTCAAGCTTGATCATAAGAACTGTTTTTAACAAAAACTATAGTTAAGCAACAAAAGTTTGAATGAGACAAAATCATAAATTATCTGCAAAATGGAAAAATTATTATTGAACTTTAAACATATATAAAACCACAAAAGAAACTTTACTTCTTATTAACTAAATTTGAATTTTATTATTTAGTCCCAATGGTCAAACTTTTGATTAATTATTATTAAAAAAACAAAATATAATTTTAATCAATTACCTGACAAAAATGTTTTCCTTTAACCTTGCATTCAACAGAAATTGTTTCACCATATACACAAGATTTATTAAATTTACAATCAATACAATCAGCACTGAGTTTTTCACAAGGTATTTTCATATCACATAATTCTGATAATACAGTCTTTGATTCAGAAGTAGATGTAAAACTTATGTTGGATTCATTTTCTGTGGGAAATGATGAAGATGGCATAACTGATGTATATCCCAAAGTATTATTTTCATTATTATCTGCTTCATGTCCAAGCATATGTCTAAATGCACTGCCTGAATGACGCAATGTATGAGATGCAACACCTATCCCACTTTCTGAAATAAAGTAATTCTTATCGTTACAATTTTTAACCTGAGATTTTAATATAAAAAATATATAAATATAAATAATTTTAAAACTAATTCCTTTACACAATATAGCATGTCTCAACGAATTCTCTTCTTTTAAATAAATTATTTTAAATAGAAACTATGCTTTATGGCATTCTGGATTTATTTTATTTATCATTCTGATTCATTTTCATATAAACTCTACAAATAAATTTAACTCTTACAACGCTTAAGCATCATTTAATTCATGTACCTTGTTCAAAATATCTGAAGTGATAAAGAGGATGTTAAAATAATTTTTCTGTAGATTGCAGCTGTATCTTGTAGCATTATGGCATGAATTTTCTTGGACTGAAAATTATGGAAACATTAAGATTGATAGGATTCCTCCTGTTATGAAATTTGATAATTATGCATTAATATAAAGGTAAGGATTGAACTAGTTCCACAATATTAAATGTTCTTAAAAATAACTTTCATTTGGCTCCAGACATTATTTCATTTTATTCAAACTTTTTATTTTTTGTACTGTTTGCTAAGATAATTAAAAAAAATTTTAATTATATTATTTCAATAATGAATAAATGAAGGTGAAAAAGCTGTTTATCGGCATTACCAGAACAAGATTTAATTACTGAGAACAAAATATGAGCACTTTCGACAGTATATATTTTTAGTAAGTGGCATTGCTTGTTTTTCTTTTTATCAATAATGAATATTTAACTATTATAAAAAATAGCTTTTAATAACAGATTAACAGAATGCATTTTATAATCTTTCATCATCACCTAACACTATATATTATATTACACTAGCTGCAAGTACCCGCTTCACTGGGTTTTTATTTGTTTGTACATTTATGTGTAATATAGTTTTTTTCTTTTTTTTATATATATATATAAAAGACTGTTTCTCTTCCTCTACATAATCTTTCTCTGATTCGATGTGTTTCCCTATAATTTTCAAGTTGCTCTTCTGTCTGATTATTTTTGTCTTGTTGATAATTTTCTCATAGCAATGTTAGATGTACTTCTCTTTCTTCCAGGGTTTCATTTCTCTGCGCTATCTTTTGCCTTTGAGATATAATTCAAGACCGCAAAAATTCTCTCTTACAATTTGGCATTGTTTTTTTTTATTTTACTTTTCACTATTCACTTTCTACTTTTTTCTGTTATTTGTACACTTTTACTTACGAAAAATCAACTGAAGCATGTGCATCACACATCTCCAAAAGCCATCCCCACTACTCACACATAACGGTCCTTGACTATTCCAAAACATTTAAGATTAAGATTAAAATTATATTATAGCCAATCTTACCCGTTTTAACAGAATGCAAGAATTAGGTCCCCCGTTTCCAGATTAATTAGAGAATTTTTACATAGCTCTAAAATTCCCGCAAAAACGCATCTGCACCTGTAAATCTTGCACGTTGCTTTCTCTTAACATTTCAATTGTTACTTAACCACTTCCATTGTTAACACTTCCCTGCAGGGGAAGTGTTAACAGCCTCTCCCTGCGGGGGGAATTTCGAAAAATTCCTTCTTACTGTACATTCTCGTGATGTACCCTAACTGTGTACCAAATTTCAACCTTCAACTCCTAACCATTTGAGCTCTGTGCTTCTTATTATTATTCAGAGTGACTATTTCAAAAGGGCAATTTTGGCAACTAAAAATAATATTGTCGATGATATCAACTTTAATATTCAAAAGAAAATTCAGAACTGGCAAGAGCTCCTCCTCTTTTAAGTTTGGGCATTGTATAAAATATAAATCAAATCAACTTTTTATTAACAAATACACTAAGTACACTTTACACAGTTTTCACACTTACAATGGATCTTGCTTTATATACCCGCACCAATGGTAGTCCCACCCATACAAAAAGTCTTCGAATGGCCCACAATGTTCCAGAACATTCCACAACATTCGAGAGTGTTCTGGGATGTTCCACAATGATCTGGGATGTTCCTGAATGTTCCAGAACATCCTGGGACATTCTGGAATGTTGTGGAATGCTCTCGAATGTTCTGGACTGTTCTAGAAATTTCTAGAGGGCAAAACTTCCAGCCCTTATATCTTCAACAGCATGCCCTTCAGGTAAAAACAGGAACCTTCTTCATGGATGGGGGATAGAGGGCTACCACACCATATAACTCCCTTGATCGTACCGGAACTCGTTTTTGAGTTTTAGCGGCACGAACATTGTACACTTACCTTTATAATATATATTGATTGATGATTAGCAGTGGCATAGCTACATATTCAGCACCCTGGAGCAAGTAGAATCGGTCTGTCCCCTTGTTCCTCGAAAGAGGTCTCACGAAATTTATTTTTAACATTTAGTTTAAAAACATATAGCTAATTATTTCAATTCAAAACTTTACTTAATAACAATTTATTTGAGATTCGAGGCATTTCAATTTTAAGATATTCAATTTAATAAATACAAACATAATAATAAAAGAAAATATAATTCTTTAAGTACAGAGTACTTAATAATATTTACTACATATTANTATACTCAACACCCCTAACCCATTTTCCTTTGCGTAAGAAAGGCTTGGAAATATTGTTAGAAAAACTTTTCTATGAACCTCAAACTTTGTGTCCTTACCATGCATTGTTCTCAACATCTGGAAACCATTAAAATGTTTCTTCTTATCCCATTTTAACAGAGGAAAAAGAAAGATTGTCAATGACCCCAACCTTTACCTAACACTTGCTTCTTTTTAATCATCACCCTCAGAGGGATGGTAGTGCCCACTTTGGGAACCACTGTTCTAATCTATTGAATATAAAATTGATCCTGATGATTTTTCAATCACAGATTATTTAAGAGTATCTCAATCTCCATTTTTTTTTTTTATAATAGTGATGACTGACATTAATATAGGACAATATACGCTGACAACAACATTTACAATCCAATAAGGGACATATTTCAAAATCAGTGAAAATGGGGTCTAAAACTAAATAAACTTTGGTTATTTTTTTAGAATTTTATTTATTTATTGACCTATAAATTGATGATGATATAATGGCATAAATTCAGTTCATATATTCTTGCATCAAAATGAAGATTTTATGATAAAAATTTGGCAGATAACTAAAATATTACTTACCTAAACAAATAATATTACTATGTACCATACAAGTAGTAATATATTTTTGTCGTGGAGCAGTAATCACTTGGCAGCTTGAATTTTTTTGACATGTATGTTCAGTATTTTCTGTTTGATAACAATAACGACATTTCATAGTTCGCATAAAGGTCAAAGGACCCTGAAAATTTAAGAATTTAAAACATTACAAACAAAAAGTTAGTTTAAAGTGAATCAAAAATTAATAATAATCAAGAATAAATACTTATACAAAGAAATATTTACAATTGATTCATACAGCATAAATACATATTAATAATTCAAACTACTGATACTATTATTGTATTTTATGGACTATAAGATGCACCTTAATTTTTAAGCAATTTTTTAAAAAAATAACATTTTTACCATTTTTACTGCCTAAATTCAATCCTTCTATACGGAATGAAGCAAACACTGATCCACCAATCAACGCTTAATAGCACTATCGAATGTCCGCTGATCGTACAATGGTCGCACAATGATCGCTGGCCAATCCGCGATTGTGGATTCAAACCACCAGTCTTCTCGTGATCCAAGTTTCTATGGCAACAAACGTTGCTCGTTTGAAAAGAGAAAAAGCACGGGAATTGTACGTCCAGACGATTCTATCCCGACACCCTGCAACTCATGTTCGTCGCATCGGTGCACTGCTGCTGCCAGTTGAATTCAACATTGCCAGATAGAGATAGGTTTCCCGCAGCATCAAATATATGGCCATTTTTAAGACGCGGGAATTTTAAATCAAACACTGGACATTCTTATATTAATTTCGAGTATAAGACGCACCTGAATTTTGGAAACAATTTTTCAAAGAAAAAAGTGCGTCTTATAGTCCGTAAAATATGGTAATATATAAAGATCAATGAGTCCAATTTATTTTATAATTAAGTCCAGATAGATTCAATATTCAAAACAGAAACAAAAACTAAATTATAACAGTCAATTTATTTTTCTTATTAGTGAATATAAATTTATTTTTTCTTTTGAATTTTCTAGTCCAACATTAGCTGCATTCTAAAACAGTTTCCAAACAGAATAAATTAATATTTAAAATTATTTGTAAAACAGAATGCCTTCTGTAATTTAATACCTTAAATATACTTTTTATTGTAATTCCTTACTTTGAGATGTTCTGTAAGTGCTGTTTGTAATTCTTACAACTTGAGGGATAGTATGTATGGTTGACTAAGGTGGGAAATGCATCCCAAATCCATTCTGTACAGTAAGATACAATAAAATGTCACAAAGTGCCTATATGTCTGGTATCTTATACAAGACCAAGTATATTTAAAATTTTTCAACATGTAAATTGTATTTCTAAAAATTTTTTATTTCATTCATTCAATATTC